AGTCCATCTCCGTTTTCTCCAGCATGTTTGTCGAGCAATAGGTTCTTTTTGGCTTTTTCCGAGAATTTCTTATTGCTAATTCTTTCTGGCCATTTGATCTTCAATATGGGGCCATCAAAAGCAGTTGTTAATAAATGTCTGGAATAGCCGGCTAGAGATCCTGTTCGTGACACATCAACTTCCCGACGCATAAAAGAACTGACTTAACATTGTTGATTAGAGTCCGAATTTTGTTATTTATCCTGGGTGAAGGAGATTTCTACACTGATTTAAAAGTGATTAGGGTCTGTCTTTCCTTTCCTATCCTGGCTAGTTTTGATATCCTCATACATACCAACGCCTGTAGTTGAAACGATTCTACCTAGATGAGTGGATGAAGTGACCTCTTTTATATTTCTTCCGTTTATAATTTTTGGTGTTTGTTATTGGTTGGTTGTCTTCACCACCTCTGATTTCCCTATAATCACTTGACGTCTTGCATTTGCAGACTACCACTCATGCAAACTTACTACCCTACAACCAGCTCATGATTTACTTCAAGGCAGAAAAGAATATCATCGGTGATAGTCAGCAGTGTTGTAATTTATTATTCCCTTAGGTTAAGCTGGAATATAAGGCTTCAACGACAATGGTAAGCAGCACTGTTCTATAATTACAATGATTTGTTTGTGAAGGCAATGAGTTTTGTAAACTAACTCATGTGGAAACAGAGTCTTCATTTCACATGTATTTTCATGAAAGTGTCAGTGTGTCGTGATGTAACAGATTATCTTTGGTGTATTTCATAGATATGGTATAAGAGTCCTTCATGCCGAGATACTTCGCTACCAAAAAAGCTCATCTTTCTTTACATAAACGCAAAAATCAGATACTATTTTCTCAATATCAGCAAACGATCACCGTTAGTTGGAACACTGCTGTAGTATATCAGCGACACTTGGTAACAATTAGAAAATTAGTCAATGGTGGACAAGTACGACAGAAGTTACATAAATATATGAAGATGTACATAAAATTGTCTGCCTGTTGTCAGTAGTATGATCCTAGGCATTGTCTCAGATAATAAATACTGAAAACTTGTCGCTTATTCTAAAGTGTTGGTTTTGTAGGGATTTTGTTTGATTGGCTGGAGGATTTCACCATGAGCTGAACCTCTGGGAAACCTGGGAGTCCTGAAAGCCTTTTCGTCCTAGTTTGGGAGTTTTTATCAGTATGCTACATTTTTCTGACACAATAAATTGTCGAGATTAAATGTATGGCACTCAGCTATAACAATTTTGTATGCGCCTTATTTTCACTAATCCTAATGAAGCTCTAAAGTAACACATTTGTATTTTCGAATCTTTGTGAAGGCAAAAATCAAAACTAATAAATTGAATGTAATACTTTGTGATAACTTGAGTGGGCGACCTCTGAATTGAACGTAAAACTTGAAGAATGTACATGCATTTGAAGTAGTTATTCATATTACAATATTAAAGAGGAATCTGGATTAATTTCAGCTGTTATATATTTGTTATGAAACAAAATTAGTTAGAGGTGTCAATGAAAACCAGGGGGAGTTGTACAGCTGTTTCGTCTTATTTTGAGACTCTATCGCACTGTAAGCCCACGACATCTCCAGAGATAAAATTCTGGTCTTCAGTCATGGCCTTAACAGAAGGTGGTTTGTGACAAAAAGCGAAAGTAAACATTGAGGCACAGAAATGGCCTTGATTTTACGAAAATCAGTAGTACACGTAGGTGATGTAACTTCGTCTAATGTAGTCATTGTTATTATTCTCACAGACAGAACTCAGTGTCGAATTAACTCTAAATGGGACACATTCCAGATGTGTGTATCACAAGAAACGGTGGAATCTACATTCAGATTAATTTATCCAAATATTCTTTAATTCATGTCCTATGAATTCCATTACTTTCTAGTGTCATCATATATTTACGCTGATAAAAGAATACAGTGAGTAGATAACACGGTGTGTAAGTAGGCAGCCCAAATATGTGGTAAAATTGAGTGGTTCACATAAACAAGAACGGGCTGTACACATATTAGACGGAAGTCATGTGGCACCACACTGGACTCACGGCGCAGCTCTGACGAACCGGAGAATGTTGGACAAAGTCGAGCGAAATAAGTCCCACAAACCATGCAAGCCAAACGTTTTCATGTCCTCCATTTGCTCAGTGCACCTCATGCTTTCGCTAGCTACGAAACACCAATTATATAAATTTGGGATTGTGAAGCACTTGGATGGCACGTTTACCTCAATGAAACTGAAAAACGGTGTATTATTTTCTTCGTTTATTTGCAATCACTTCGTCATTGACACCTGAATAACTGCATGCCATACCAATATTCTGTGTGAAATATTTCTGTTCCACATTCTATATGTGCTTATCATGCACTTGATGGAATCATGTATGAGTCTAATTCCCATATGGAATATTATCAGATTAAATAAACTAAACCAGCTTCGCAAGTGGTAAATGCGAGGATGAGGACCAAACGATTGTAAAACTTCTCACTACTGATAGGAATTTGACAGATAGTCATGTAGCCGAATAAAGGAAAATAGAAGAAATGCTTGATAACGGAAATGGTAAAGTTCATGAAATTCAATTATGACTCATTATTGTGGTGATTCGTTTGTGAATGCTCTCGGGCTAGTTAACAACCACACCACTATCCCCATTTCACACGTAGTTTCATGAAACTGTCAGCGCATAATCCCGTAGATTGAATTCTCCTAACTGTGTTTAATAAACTTCGCTCACGTATCTATCATGCGGAGATACTTCGTCAACAGAAACTGTGATCTTTGTCTATACAAATACACCATTCAAATATTATCCTCTGAACTCCCTCATTTATTTGCTGCAAACCAATCAGACGTTTTGTCCGAACACTGGAGTGGATATCAACAAGACATTAGACTTTGTAACAACTAGAAATTAGGCAGAAGGTCAGAATAGAATGTCGATAGTCATATGCATGTATATGTATATGATCAACAGGAGGATCCTATGGATAGTCTCAAATAACAAATCCTGCATATTTATTTGTTTTCATCTTGCTAAGTTCGCTTCTTTCTATTTATATAATGAATTGTAGAAATTGACAGTTACATCGCTTATCCTCTTGATTTAAAATTCAGTCATTACAAGTTAATTTTGCATCTTATTTTGCCTGATACTAGTAAAACTTTGTCATGCAATAACACGAATTTGTATTTCCATCACTTTTCAAAAGCTGAATCTGGCCTAAATGACAACCGTGGAAAATTGCCATCAGGACTGGGACAGAAACGTATTAGAAACTCATCAAGGATATATGTTCAGCGATTTCATCCGCGAAATCTGTACATTAGCATTTATATGCATTAAAAATGTGTGTGTATGAATAAGATAAATACATACCATATATAAGTGCATATATTCATGTACACAGATACCACTGTGAAGTATTTGAAGATGAAATCTGATATGTACCCACATGATGTGTATTTTGTTTTAGACAGTCTATTATATTTTGCTATGTGTATGTGGATCGATATTCCATTATAACTGACATTATGCTTTTGTCTGTCCACTAACTAAATAAACATGTATGACCTTGTTATCACATGACATTACAACCAATCATGCTAAGACTGGCTTTTTATTGGTTCATGTGTATTAGCCATTTTCATATATACTTTTGTACTGTATTCTGGTTCACACATATTTCGTACATTGCGTACCATTATTATTATTATTATTTCACTCACACACTAGTGTGACATTTATTGTCCCTGTCTGGAAAGTACCAGTATCATCGTTAACCCGGTGGTCTTCTGATTTCCCTCTTCCCGCGTCAGGACTATTAACTATTCGAAGAGTACATAACATAATTGGCGACGGGGAAAACTCTATTAACCACTCAGCAGCAGTACATAACAAAATCACCGAAGAGATGTCTTTGCAGAGCTATTCTCTCCTTCATCCCTAATAAACCACAGTAGAATACCTGCAAGTATAATATTACTTTGCGATAACTTGAGTGGACAACCTCCGACTCTACTGCGAAACTCCAAACATATATACGGGATCAAGTTGTTCTTTGGAAAAAATAAACTGTCTTGATTATAGAAGAATTAGTGGAGCATATAAAAGATGTAATTTTTGTCTTGTAAATTTGATAGTTTTGTTATTCATACCGTACAGACCACCGAATACTTCGATTTCTCCCTGATTACAATCATTCAGTGGCATTCGGTATTCAGTCGAGTTGAACGTGTTATTACACTCTCATTCCACCCACACCAGACATAAATCATGCCAACGAACTCAAATCCCGGGATCCTCATCAGCATCTACAACAGAATATCTGCCCACTGTGTGTATACAGAAGAATACACTACAACGTATGCATCATACAAAACAGTCTTTGCCACAACTGAGGCTTGTTGAAGTCGTCGTCTTAAATACCGAAGACACTGTCCCGGTGCAAATATAACAAATCCCTTCGAAATCTAATGTTAAATTATCTACAACACAAATTAATATCATCGATTAATCATCACAAAGTGATCCAATGAGTATCCACTACTAATAACACAAACATGAGAATAAACACGAATTTAGTCGACATCATTATTTACCACTTCTCAAATGTGTATCTTGCTTTCATAATGTTTTCAAAATTCTACAGTGCTTAGTATGAAGAGTTTTATTGCTGATTCAAGATTCTAAGTAAATATTTATGTGTAAGAATTTCGGATCAAAGTTTACAGAGTGAGATGGATATATTTGAGCATGAGTGAGTATGGTTTTCACATTTGATGCATGTAACCACCATTGTTATACGGTATTTTATTCACATGTAAGTTGTCCACCTCTCATGGTTTGCAGTTAGTATAATTTCATTGTCACCTGTGGAAATCCCGAAGATGTTATTATTCGTGAACCGTCTTAAAGTCAACAATTATGCATTATTTCACTATTTCCGTATACATCTGAATATCTCGTGGCGTTCACTATCCATGAATGAAAACACACGGAAATGGTCACATTGAATTGTTTATATAACATTCTTGTAATATAAACATTGCGTATAAGTCTTATTTCGCTTATATATGCATGTAGAATAACCCATTACTTGTAAAACATGTAGAGGACTTAGTTGAAAGGGAGCTTTTTCACTTTAAGCATGGTCAGCCATTGATGTCGCCACGTGTTTATTGTTTTGCAGTTTGCGTTTTTTACTTCACCATTTGTAACATAAACGATTCCTTATTTTATTCATTTTAATACATAACACTTATACTCTCATTCAACGCCTTTTATTCAATGGCTATGAATAATGGTAACTCATCACTTTTGCTAGTAATCTCTTTGATGAAGAAGATTGTACGTAAATGCTGTTGCCAAGCTAGAGTAAATGGATTTGCCGAAAACAGACTATACACCCAACTATGTGTTTTTTCATCCTTCAAATGGTTACTCAATTTCTTATTCCTGAGATCATCGAGATATTCACGATGGAATGTCTACTCATTTAAGCACTCATATGCATGAGAATTTGACATTATGTTTTATTTGAGAGAATGTTATGTGACTACCAGTCATCTGGATAAATATTAAGTATATGTCACATCAGTGCTTCTGCATGGTTCAGAAACATAAAATGTCCTGGAAAGCATTTCCGACAAGCCACTTCATGCCTCCATTATCACCTACCTTCATTGGTGAAATAATCTGTCTGCCTATCGGTGATTGTACACAACAAGGAACTCCGGCAGGTAACCAGTGTAAGCACATTCTAACGATAAAGATGTTGAACGTGGTGGAATTGAAGTAGGTGAATAACATAGTTTTGAAAGTCTATTAACCAAGTTAGTTGTGATCTAGATTTTGAAAATACATTAAGAGTTCGATGATGGTAATAATGAAGTGGCTGATGAACTTTGATGAGTTCTTGCGATAAAATACAATGAAATAAAAGTGATATTACTGAGATGATGGTGGAGAAAGAGGTTTTAACTGAAGGTGTTTGAATACATAATTTAGGTTTTGTCCATATTTTATCTAAAGCATCGGCTAAACACAAGTGGATGAAACGCAAATTTTAAGGGTGAATGAATTTGAATCTCTTAACTTTTGACGATAAATGGTCTATTATGTTCACAAATGGATGGTTTCTTCATCACATGCTCTTCTTCCACCAACCAAATCGGATAGTGTTCATCTGCGCATTTCTAGAGAACACACCTGCAACGTACAATGTAATGTGCTCCACAGAAGCATGTTAAACTTCAGGTGCAAACATATGCTGTAATTCATCCTTTCTGTATTGTCGAGGTGTTATTAGACATCCAAAGTACACTAACATATATTACATCCAAAGCATCCATTGTGCACAGATTTACCTGAGTAAACCAAAAGCATTAACTTCAGTACACGATCACAAGACTGTATAATCTGATATTTCCAGACCGTAGGTATTCGTGAGAGAGTCATATTTATCCAACTATGAATCGATAAAATAATTTTTTCTTCTGTAAATCGCGTTCTGGACAAATAAAATTGGAAGATTCACTGCATAAATATTTTTCACTTAAAATTTCACAATAAGTAATAGTTCCAATCGTAAAATTTAGAACAAGACATTTAAGCGCACAATATTGTTTCAATTAGATTTAATCCGATTAAACTTACATGTACATACATAACTTTAGAAATAATTTTTAAATATGCACCAACCAAAATCACTTGTAAATGGGAAGGGAAGATTGTGCATACAAATAATACATTCAGTCATAATAATACTAATAATTCTATTATTTAAAAAGATTAAAAAATTGGAGCGATTTCTGGTGACAAAGATTAAAAGTTTGAGATGTAAATTGTCATATATTTTGCTGTTAACTCAAAAAAATACACATGTAAGTTGGTCATACACAGTGTCACATAGACATGTCGTACAAAACTCATTTGAGCCAATTTGCCAGAAGCACTACAAGCTGACAAAAGAAATGACAACATGAATGTTCAGAATTCCAGTCATAATAAGTGATTGAACACTTTATTAAACAAAATAAATTATGTTTTAAATATGAAATATGCTTCGAAAATTAGCGCAAATGTTGTCAATCTGATACTCCTTCAAAGAATTCGGAGAAAGAAATTAGTCTGAACTTACCAAACACATAGAAGTGTTGAAGAAACCAACTGCCAACAGTTCACAAAGGTACTAAAAAACAAATATTAAATCTAATAAATATTTGAGGGAACTGAAACGACGAATTCTACGAGTCGTCATGTATAATTCTTCTCGCTGTTATTGGACAGTGAAATTCAATAGTGAAAGGAAAATATAAGCTGCACTGATTGTTTATTCAGAGCATAAGTTAGACTGTTTGAGCGTGAATGAAAATGGCTTTAGCCTAGTTTCCTAAAAGTAGAGCGAACTAGTTAGAAGTAGTGAGATGTTGCTTTATATATGAAATTCGACGTATTTTGATTGCGTATAATACATAATTATGTGACGTCCATGTTTTAACAGCAATACTGAGGAAGCGATTTAAAATAAGATTCCTGTATACCATATGACTTACGTAATGTGGAGATTTGACAGAATTGCAAATCATTTACCAACCTCAGGACAAAATGTTCTATCATATATTTGTTTCATAAAGAATATATGAGTGATTGGTTGTCAATAGAGAGAGATGAACAATAAGTTCAACAAAGATATCTTTCCAGCTATTTCATTCTCGAAAGCTACACAATCGCATTTAGTTTTCGGTTCGACTCCTTAGTTCTCCTTTTTTGTTTTTTTTATTCCTCTCAAATTTGTTCATTTCAGTGATGAAAACTACTATGTCAATTCGTTTTGGTTCTCATCTCGTGTTCATCTGTACTCATTATAAATCTGTTTTACACATAACGCAACTTTTTCTTAATCCTGTGTAGTTTTGTTTCTAAGCCTCTTATAATTTATATTCACACTTTTAGACTTTCATATCAAGTTGGAAACTATTATCAGATTAAATCTCCATTATTGCGTAGCATTAAACAGTAATTGTATTAGTGTAAATTTATGTAAATAAATGCAATTTTACAGCTTTTTGGTATGAAATCATCGGAAAGGTATCTTTGCTGAAGTCATAGTTCTTGTCTCCTTGATGTCCTTATGAGCATTTTCCGCTATTTGATTGATTGTCGACTGATTCCAAGCTCGCTCTTTGCCATTTCATTCGCATTCTAGAAAATCTGAATGACGCTTCACATATTTGTCACAAACAGAATAATGTTTTCGAATTTTACACTTCTGGTCTTTTACCCCATGCACCTAATTCGCAGTAGAATTTTCAGATGTAGCAGATTGATGTTGATTCATTCCTTATACTTGTTTTCCCGTTTATATCAATAGATAAAACTTCATTCATCAGTCTTTACCTCCACTATTCTGTATACAACTATAAGTCGATCTTGCGACGAATTTTAGATGTCAAATCCTGGTATTTAAGTCAAAATGGCATCCAATAGAGCATGTTGCAGACTTCAAGATTTCGACGATTCACAAATTTAGCTAATATATGTGTAAAACTTGGGCGCTGTGTTAGTAAGTAACTCCATATTAGTTTGTTTACTAGATATATCACACAGTGAAACAGTATTATTTACTGGATGACGTTTCGAACAAAATTTATTGTTCATAATCATTTCAATTTTTGTCACACGACTTCGAGATTTTATTTTTATAGTTTTCTCTGTCTTCTCCTATTTGTCGTATGAGCGGTAGAGCTTTCCATATATCTGGGACAGGTGTTGAATCATTCCTATTACATGTATTTGCAGTTGATTCGATAAACAAAGCTTCTGTTATCAATCTCTCCCTATACCCTGTGACATTAAATTTTAAAACTGTCATCCTATCTCATCCTATTGTATGGTAGTGTGTAACTGCATGTAGTGCTATAGCTGGACTCCTCTCTAGATTTCTTATCTTATTCGGGTCAACCGGTCTAGATTTAGCTAGGTTTTTATGTTCGGTTAGTCTGACTGCCCCTGTTCTACTAGTTTGACCTATGTATTTGACCTCACAATCATTGCAAGGTATTAGATAAACTAAATTTTGTTTTAATGCCAAACCCACAAACTCAATTAGAAACAAGCTTTGTCGGTCAAAGGATCCTGTAGAGCCGTTGAAACAAAACAAAATTTAGTTTATCTAATACCTTGCAATGATTGTGAGGTCAAATACATAGGTCAAACTAGTAGAACAGGGGCAGTCAGACTAACCGAACATAAAAACCTAGCTAAATCTAGACCGGTTGACCCGAATAAGATAAGAAATCTAGAGAGGAGTCCAGCTATAGCACTACATGCAGTTACACACTACCATACAATAGGATGAGATAGGATGACAGTTTTAAAATTTAATGTCACAGGGTATAGGGAGAGATTGATAACAGAAGCTTTGTTTATCGAATCAACTGCAAATACATGTAATAGGAATGATTCAACACCTGTCCCAGATATATGGAAAGCTCTACCGCTCATACGACAAATAGGAGAAGACAGAGAAAACTATAAAAATAAAATCTCGAAGTCGTGTGACAAAAATTGAAATGATTATGAACAATAAATTTTGTTCGAAACGTCATCCAGTAAATAATACTGTTTCACTGTGTGATATATCTAGTGAACAAACTAATATGGAATCACAAATTTAGCTCCCTTTAACAAAAATCGTTTATTGATCTGTCTTTTAAATGAAAGATCACAGCTAAAATCAATGTGTTTATTAAACTTTAACACTTTTATAATACGGGCTCTCACATTTATTTATTTATTAAAACATAAAATGTGGAACAAGAATTGTTTACTGTGAGGTGTGTTTGTATTTCCTTCATCCACCACAATATGAAGATTGAAGTTTGAAATTCTACTAGAATTGTGAAATTATTCCTGTATTTCAGGTGATTACCAAAATAAGCATTGGTAGACAACAATACATTTGACATTTCAATCCACTCACTTGCATACAGTCTACAAAAATTAAAATTGTAGCAATAACAGGACAAATTATCGACAAGACTGATAATGCAATCGCTACGTGTACTTTCAATCTTTTTGTCATGAAAAGGAAAATAATTGTTAATACATCTTCCAAAATAGTGAAGTCGATTAAAATAGCACACTTTAATCCAGTGTCTTTACAGACTACCAAGCAAACACCTGCCGACCATAGTAAAAGCTGTTGGAAAATTAGTTAAACAAATATATACAAATGGAATAAATAGAACGGTCCACATACAGTTTGTATATCATTTAAATTCTAGTGGGAGTAAAATCAGAACTGACGACACTCTGTTTAGTCTTCGTTACTTCAGTTGAATACTACTGACATGACCCTTCAAAACGAAACCGTCTGGAAAACCATTAAGTGTTATCACACTACTTTTGGAGCAAATTGTGTGACTGTGTGGCTCTATTTTTTGGGTGTTATGCATCGAAATTCAAAAGAATCACTGCTACCTCAATGATTTTTACGAGATTTGCTTTTTAGTTGTAGCCATGTAGCTGCTGGCCAGATTCAAACCAGCATTACCATGTACTGATGTGGTAGATGCGATCAAAGGACTTTTAGTACTGGTGGCTAACCACTTGCAGATGTGGTGTGTAGTTAGAAAAAGTGTCTCACTTTAAATTATGCTCACCGAATTCGACTAGACAAGAGTTTAGTGCATTAGGTGATTCTGAAATAATTCATTGTTTCAAATCTACATTTATTAAGTAACAGAACCGTATTCTGATAATAATAGCCACATGGACCATGGATGAGTTTGGATAAAAGTGGTTCATTTCAACTTGCTTCATTATCTGAGTGAATTACTTTTACAATTTTGTAATAAACTGCACAATAAACACGAACTTTTTATTGGTAAAGAACTCCAACAGATCCTTTTGAGTCTCTGAACAACTTACCAATAATGCGAGGAAGATGCGCTCAATTTTCCAGTTCCTCCTGTATTTTAAGAACAGTAATAAAGTGAGGATCGAAATAGTTGCTCTGAAATACAAATATGAAACTGTACAGTGAATTTTAATGGTAGAAACATATTAGTAAATGGATAAATCTGCATTGGTTTATCAGATTACGCTATATTTTACCACGAGGGGAAACAGGATTATTGCCAGCATGACGGTTGGATTGTTTAAGTCCTGATTGACCTCGTTTCTTAATCACATCTTGTTCTTCTAAAATTAATATTTTTGCATTGCTTTCTGCCCTTTAATTTTTATATTGATTCTTTTGGTCAATTATCACCCGGTTGACAGGATACTGACTCAATAGTGGTGGCATATTTATCACCTCCGGACTGGTAATTTTGTGTATTGTATTAAAATATATTTTTATAAATGGGGATCTAAATGAAAATTGAGTATTTCTTCACCCAATTCATTTGTCTTCTGACTTAGAATCATTTCTATCATTGTATATTGGACAGTTATTATGGCTAGGAGTCACATTATTCCATGCCTTATATGAACTGGCTGTTTTACTTCTAGTTGAACTTCCTTCTTTTAATCACTGGTTAACACTAATAGCTTTATAATCAAGTTGCATAACTGGTTTATTTGACTCAGGTATCGAAGAATGTGGGACTCACATGCAAATAATAGCTATAACGAACCACCAATCCATCGGAAAATCTTCGTTGATCTGCAGAATAAAAAATTCACTATAGGTGTTTAGCGAAACAGTACTTCTTATGTTTTCCTTAAAAACACCTAATCACATGTATTAACATATAACGTCAAATTCGGACAGTTAAATTCATTGGGAGATTATGTTTCTTTTTCAGTTAAGGGATTAACGGAGTAAAGAGTGCTTGCTTTTTGAGAATGTCACAGTGTGACTGATTAAATTATTTTGAGATTAAAATCATCAGATTTCGTCTTATATTTCAAATATTCGACAGGTGAAACGTGAACTGAAAACACAAAATCCTGTTTAAAACAGTTACTCCCTTTTATGAATTTAGAAAAGCAGTAAGAAGACGTAATTTGTCTGAATCGCGTAATATATTTGTGCGATAGGAAAGGGAATATATATTCCTATTGCAAGTCCATGTGTGATCAGATTGCTCGAAATGTGTTCCGCAAATATATTACACGATTCAGACAAATTACGTCTTATTTGCTATATCTAAATAAACTCTGTAGCGATATCAATGGCTGACCATGCTTAAAGTGAAAAAGCTCACTTTCAACTAAGTCCTCTACATGTTTCACAAGTAATGGGTTATTCTACATGCATATATAAGCGAAATAAGACTTATACGCAATGTTTATATTACAAGAATGTTATATAAACAATTCAATGTGACCATTTCCGTGTGTTTTCATTCATGGATAGTGAACGCCACGAGATATTCAGATGTATACGGAAATAGTGAAATAATGCATAATTGTTGACTTTAAGACGGTTCACGAATAATAACATCTTCGGGATTTCCACAGGTGACAATGAAATTATACTAACTGCAAACCATGAGAGGTGGACAACTTACATGTGAATAAAATACCGTATAACAATGGTGGTTACATGCATCAAATGTGAAAACCATACTCACTCATGCTCAAATATATCCATCTCACTCTGTAAACTTTGATCCGAAATTCTTACACATAAATATTTACTTAGAATCTTGAATCAGCAATAAAACTCTTCATACTAAGCACTGTAGAATTTTGAAAACATTATGAAAGCAAGATACACATTTGAGAAGTGGTAAATAATGATGTCGACTAAATTCGTGTTTATTCTCATGTTTGTGTTATTAGTAGTGGATACTCATTGGATCACTTTGTGATGATTAATCGATGATATTAATTTGTGTTGTAGATAATTTAACATTAGATTTCGAAGGGATTTGTTATATTTGCACCGGGACAGTGTCTTCGGTATTTAAGACGACGACTTCAACAAGCCTCAGTTGTGGCAAAGACTGTTTTGTATGATGCATACGTTGTAGTGTATTCTTCTGTATACACACAGTGGGCAGATATTCTGTTGTAGATGCTGATGAGGATCCCGGGATTTGAGTTCGTTGGCATGATTTATGTCTGGTGTGGGTGGAATGAGAGTGTAATAACACGTTCAACTCGACTGAATACCGAATGCCACTGAATGATTGTAATCAGGGAGAAATCGAAGTATTCGGTGGTCTGTACGGTATGAATAACAAAACTATCAAATTTACAAGACAAAAATTACATCTTTTATATGCTCCACTAATTCTTCTATAATCAAGACAGTTTATTTTTTCCAAAGAACAACTTGATCCCGTATATATGTTTGGAGTTTCGCAGTAGAGTCGGAGGTTGTCCACTCAAGTTATCGCAAAGTAATATTATACTTCCAGGTATTCTACTGTGGTTTATTAGGGATGAAGGAGAGAATAGCTCTGCAAAGACATCTCTTCGGTGATTTTGTTATGTACTGCTGCTGAGTGGTTAATAGAGTTTTCCCCGTCGCCAATTATGTTATGTACTCTTCGAATAGTTAATAGTCCTGACGCGGGAAGAGGGAAATCAGAAGACCACCGGGTTAACGATGATACTGGTACTTTCCAGACAGGGACAATAAATGTCACACTAGTGTGTGAGTGAAATAATAATAATAATGGTACGCAATGTACGAAATATGTGTGAACCAGAATACAGTACAAAAGTATATATGAAAATGGCTAATACACATGAACCAATAAAAAGCCAGTCTTAGCATGATTGGTTGTAATGTCATGTGATAACAAGGTCATACATGTTTATTTAGTTAGTGGACAGACAAAAGCATAATGTCAGTTATAATGGAATATCGATCCACATACACATAGCAAAATATAATAGACTGTCTAAAACAAAATACACATCATGTGGGTACATATCAGATTTCATCTTCAAATACTTCACAGTGGTATCTGTGTACATGAATATATGCACTTATATATGGTATGTATTTATCTTATTCATACACACACTTTTTTTAATGCATATAAATGCTAATGTACAGATTTCGCGGATGAAATCGCTGAACATATATCCTTGATGAGTTTCTAATACGTTTCTGTCCCCAGTTCTGATGGCAATTTTCCACGGTTGTCATTTAGGCCAGATTCAGCTTTTGAAAAGTGATGGAAATACAAATTCGTGTTATTGCATGACAAAGTTTTACTAGTATCAGGCAAAATAAGATGCAAAATTAACTTGTAATGACTGATTTTTAAATCAAGAGGATAAGCGATGTAACTGTCAATCTCTACAATTTATTATATAAATAGAAAGAAGCGAACTTAGCAAGATGAAAACAAATAAATATGCAGGATTTGTTATTTGAGACTATCCATAGGATCCTCCTGTTGATCATATACATATACATGCATATGACTATCGACATTCTATTCTGACCTTCTGCCTAATTTCTAGTTGTTACAAAGTCTAATGTCTTGTTGATATTCACTCCAGTGTTCGGACAAAACGTCTGATTGGTTTGCAGCAAATAAATGAGGGAGTTCAGAGGATAATATTTGAATGGTGTATTTGTATAGACAAAGATCACAGTTTCTGTTGACGAAGTATCTCCGCATGATAGATACGTGAGCGAAGTTTATTAAACACAGTTAGGAGAATTCAATCTACGGGATTATGCGCTGACAGTTTCATGAAACTACGTGTGAAATGGGGATAGTGGTGTGGTTGTTAACTAGCCCGAGAGCATTCACAAACGAATCACCACAATAATGAGTCATAATTGAATTTCATGAACTTTACCATTTCCGTTATCAAGCATTTCTTCTATTTTCCTTCATTCGGCTACATGACTATCTGTCAAATTCCTATCAGTAGTGAGAAGTTTTACAATCGTTTGGTCCTCATCCTCGCATTTACCACTTGCGAAGCTGGTTTAGTTTATTTAATCTGATAATATTCCATATGGGAATTAGACTCATACATGATTCCATCAAGTGCATGATAAGCACATATAGAATGTGGAACAGAAATATTTCACACAGAATATTGGTATGGCATGCAGTTATTCAGGTGTCAATGACGAAGTGATTGCAAATAAACGAAGAAAATAATACACCGTTTTTCAGTTTCATTGAGGTAAACGTGCCATCCAAGTGCTTCACAATCCCAAATTTATATAATTGGTGTTTCCTAGCTAGCGAAAGCATGAGGTGCACTGAGCAAATGGAGGACATGAAAACGTTTGGCTTGCATGGTTTGTGGGACTTATTTCGCTCGACTTTGTCCAACATTCTCCGGTTCGTCAGAGCTGCGCCGTGAGTCCAGTGTGGTGCCACATGACTTCCGTCTAATATGTGTACAGTCCGTTCTTGCTTATGTGAACCACTCAATTTTACCACATATTTGGACTGCCTACTTACACACCGTGTTATCTACTCACTGTATTCTTTTATCAGCGTAAATATATGATGACACTAGAAAGTAATGGAATTCATAGGACATGAATTAAAGAATATTTGCATAAATTAATCTGAATGTAGATTCCACCGTTTCTTGTGATACACACATCTGGAATGTGTCCCATTTAGAGTTAATTCGACACTGAGTTCTGTCTGTGAGAATAATAACAATGACTACATTAGACGAAGTTACATCACCTACGTGTACTACTGATTTTCGTAAAATCAAGGCCATTTCTGTGCCTCAATGTTTACTTTCGCTTTTTGTCACAAACCACCTTCTGTTAAGGCCATGACTGAAGACCAGAATTTTATCTCTGGAGATGTCGTGGGCTTACAGTGCGATAGAGTCTCAAAATAAGACGAAACAGCTGTACAACTCCCCCTGGTTTTCATTGACACCTCTAACTAATTTTGTTTCATAACAAATATATAACAGCTGAAATTAATCCAGATTCCTCTTTAATATTGTAATATGAATAACTACCTCAAATGCATGTACATTCTTCAAGTTCTACGTTCAATTCAGAGGTCGCCCACTCAAGTTATCACAAAGTATTACATTCAATTTATTAGTTTTGATTTTTGCCTTCACAAAGATTCGAAAATACAAATGTGTTACTTTAGAGCTTCATTAGGATTAGTGTAGTAATTTATTGTAATCGTAATATTAGTATTTCGAGATGACCGAATTACAAGAATCCAAACAAAACACAGAGAGGGAGGAATTCGGGAATTCTTATTTAGCGGAATTCTAATGCAATTCATATATGAAACATATTAGCAATCATCAGTAAATACTTAAACAATACAAAGATAGAAATTGTCAATCACCACATCCGCCACACGTCGAATGTCTCCTTGCGTATTTATAACGATTTCTCGGTTTGCTTGAAAGTAGCTGCGACCTTCTAACTGATTCTGTGATATTATCTTCATCACTTTTATCTCGACTTATTTCAGAATTATCTACAAAATCAGGATTAGTAGCGGAATTATTAATATTATAATTGGAACGACCTACTTCATTTATTGTCACTTTGTCCAGGTGTCCGTTATGAACTGAGTGATCTTTGATGTCTAATATCTTCACCACTCGATTTCCCATTTTTTGTAGTATAATTCCAACATAAGGTCTATAGTCTTTCCCTTTGTAATAATGTACATTAGAAGTCGTGGACATCAGATGCTTTTTGAGAATTCGAGATTTGAAAAGTTTTGCATGACTTGCATGCTCTGCATTCAACAAACTCAGTCTATGCATATGCAGCAATTCCTCCATTTTAATCAGTTGCTCTCTCATCTCATTCAGTTCTTCTCGTGTTTTCGACAGTTCGCATTGTAACTCAGCTACCTCATTTTTGGAAGTAGTTGACGCTTGAGTTGCTGAACTTGTAGTGGAGGTTTTCATTGGATGAGATTGAGTATTTTGAAAAGTTGAAAGACACATTGACTCTATTTTACTAGACAGATTGGGAGAATTATAAGAATTCTGAGTAACATAAGTATTCGAACTTCTGCAAACCGTCTTGATGTGTCCAACTTTACCACATTTGTGACACTTAGCACCCCGAAAACGGCAAGTGCTTCGTAGATGTAACTTTCCACAGGAAAAACACGGTTTAATGTTTTTGATCTCTGGCTGCATTCTATTACCTGTGGACGACAATTCGGATTGCTTTCCATGACCACTTGTATTTTCGACTTTAGAAAGCATAACATCAGATACTGACGTAGTGGGATCAGAGTATTCATTATTGACATCTTCATATATAATACATAAATCTTTAGCAGTTTGAAAGGTACAAGAAGGAATCTGAATTAACTCTTTCTCTAATTTAGGAATATTGATTCCAGCAATTAGACGATCACGTAGTGCGTCGGTGGCACAGTGGTTTGGACTCTCGCCGACCATGCACATGGTCCGGGGTTCGAGCCCACGCCGGCGCACACCTGATATCTATGGTCGGCCTGCAAAATTTGGGCTACCGATATCCACGCTGAAAATTCCACACTTGTACCACAAATACAGTGTGGAATCAAGCTGTAAATCAAAAAAAAAATAGTTGAGTATGCAGCTGATCTCCAAAGTTACACTTTGAAGCTTGAATTTGAAGTTGCAGAATAAAGTCTCTAATCCTTTGGTTGGGAGCACGAACCAGTTTATGGAACTGAGCCCTCTCTCTGGTCTCAAATGTAGTTACATGGAAGTGATTCATCAGAAGTTCACGAATCTTGACATATGACAGAGAAATAGGTTGATCTGGAAACGACAGAGTCTTTACTAGCTTTACGCATATAGCCCAATAGCAGTGATGAAACGTG